TAGCTATTTCATCCATTAGCTCACGTCTAATAATAATAATCGACATATTAAAGCTGATGACTTGTAAAAATTGACGAAAAGAAAACCGTGAAATACTATTTTATATTCATGTAATGCCTTTGCACTAATTGATTTAAAACAGAATTCTGTTCCTCATATTGCGAGAATAAAACTACTTTACACTTCTTACATTAAATGATGAAAATCGTTTTCGTAATCGCCACAAAGATTTTTCTTTGGATCGAATCGTCCGCTCTTTGCCCCGAATGACGAAGGGGCAATTACTAGCGGCGTCGACAAATCTCTGCGCAGCACAGAAAAAAAATTCCATTTATTTTTATGGTATCTTATTATAATGTCGCGCGTCCTTTACAAATATGACAACAGGATCCGAAAAAAGTATTCGATTTCCACGTTTCTCATTTTACCACGCTTCTAATTATCATTTTACATTTTTACAATACGTTCTGCTCTCTTCGGGGCAAACGTGTATAAATATTCCCACAATTGCGAACGCGCTTCTTACGTTCCCCTGACGTAAATAATATACATTTATAACTGTATCCCGGTACTCCGCAATGCGAAGGAATTACGTAATAAGAGATATATTGCCATACAAGAATGCAGGCGAGCGCATATTATCGCCGTTGTCCGTTCCGTTGTGGCTCTCGATCCGATATACGCCATCATTTATCAGTATCGACGTTACCGCGACGGCGATACGTGATTTTATTTCACCAGAGCGTTTAACGAGAGAAAGGCGATCACATTTCATCTCATTAGCCGGCACGGCACGGTTACATCAATGTATAACTATCGCGAACTCGTCAATGTAAGCCCAGAAAGCGGTTCCAAGTTCCAAGCACGTTAATTAGCGCCGCGCGCCTTTTTTCGTTCCCGTGAAAGTTCCTGGATGGAGCCGGCCGCCATGGACGCGACATAAAGCGTATAATTTTCGACCTCCTAATCACTCGGACTCGGATTCGGACAGTCATGACCTTAATGCTCTCTCTCGCATCTGCCGAACGATTTCCCACCGCGCGAACGCAAAATAGCGACGCTATCGATCATATCGAGCTCATTAGGCATATTTGCTAATCCTCACACGCAACATTCCCCCGTATACGTTAGGAATGATGAATCGATCGAGTAGCCTCGATCTCGTGAAAACGGCAGACCTAAAACGAAGCCGCGCGACGGCCACCTTCTTCCCGATGGTTTCAAATTGATCCGTTCGGCCTGACGCGGTCAGCGTTTAAAAAGCAAGCGCCAGTGATTGCGTCGAGATGTGTCCCGCTTCTCCTGGATTATAATCCAGCGGATTCGAGTCACAACGGTGCGCTGCAACGTTCCGGGCATCAATTTTCAATCAAGCGAAATCCGCTAATCTCGCAAAGAGGAAGAAGTTAAAGTTCCTGTGACGATAATCATCAAATAATGGCCATTTCTCTCGGCAACTGCGTATTATATTTACATGCTGCAGTTATATCAATATTTTTTACGCCGCGCGTATCGAAGTTCCTTAAATTAGCTAGTCATAATTTATAGGACATACATTACACACCGAGTGGCAGAATGCACGCAATGTACAACGGACGTAAGCACACTGAAGTAGTGCGACGCGAGAAATGTTGATCGTCCATCGATCGAGGAATTCAGTACCGTTCGTGAGCTTTTTTCCTTCCCTTATTTATCGTATATATGTCGCACGTCGATCTAAACGATCGTGACAGGGCGGAGGATTGCAACAACAAGAAGGGCGGAAGGGCGGGAAGAACAATCTAGCAAAGAAATCGGAGAAACTCGCTCGCGGTAATTTCTTCTGCTTCGCGACGCTCGCGCAGGAAAGATGTAGAACAATAATGGCAAGGGCTCGTGATATAACCGTATTTGTGACACGGTGCGACTCGCGGTCTGGATAAAATCGCCAGTTTTTCCCCCCCTGGCGATCGTGATTAAGATTCCGAGCATATATCCGCCTTGTTCTTGATTTCCTAGAACACTCGCACTTGGTCCCACCGTATCCGCTTATCGTTCCTCGTGTCATGCATACACGCGTTTATATATCAAAAGAAATCTCTATAACATATCGTTAAATAAAAAGGAATTATTTGCCCTCGTTTGCTCTGAAACGGAATCTCTCAATTGAAATTTCTATTTTTACATTTAGGATTTCTATAAATTGCCACAGGAAACAAAAGTATTGTAAGTTGTGTTTTGACGAAAGTATTTATGATTCCTTATAAAATTTGGAATTATCTGAATACTTTCAAATTTCTTGTAATTATATAAAAAGGAAAAGAGACAAAAAATGTAGCCAATTTAACGGAAGACAATGCTAAAAATGAAGACAACTGTTTAATCAAGTTATCATATAAGAAACAAATGTTGATATACATAAGAAATAAAAGAGATACAAAAAGTTTAGCCTTTTTAATGGAACACAATCAGTATCGAAGATGTGAACTATGCAGAAAAACTCCATCCAATCAAGTTGCTATGCATATAGGAAACATCGCCTCGAAGTCGAAAGGAGGCTCGCGACTTCTTTTGAAGCACTTTCCACACGCCTGTCGTACAGGCGTATCTGCTTTAAGAAGTAACTTTAAACAGCCGCCCGTGTTCATCGCGGAGAATAACGCGAGTAATTACGCGATCGGCGGGATCCATTAAAGCCTCGCGCTCGTCTTTATCGATGACATAAGAGAACTTTTATAGCGCGAGGATTCCTGCCGTCATCCTTTACGCGCGTTCGCCTCACGACTATCCCCTCGCCTCTCATTTGAAGACCCTGTTACATGCCGACCTGGTGCGGCGCGACGCGACGCGGCGCGAGGTAAATTGCGCCTGCTTTACGGGACGAGAGCTACAAATGAAGACCGATGAAGAATTCGCGCTGCGAAACCTAGAGATGGAATCTTCCCGGATCGGAGATCCACCGCTTGTTCGTAATTTGCCGACACGTGCGACAGAGGTTCCGCGATATCGACGATCATTTTCACCGTGGGTACCGTTTAATGGAGCACACGTCGAGCTCGCGAAGCTGAAAGGCGACAATACGGCGTACGTGCAATACGTGTACGCGTGGTTTCGACAAGTCATCGTCATCCGCCTCTCCTTGACGAGAATAAGCAGCGAATGTTGAAATACGTACGGGATAGTAATTCCGTTACCTGAAAGGGTAGATTAATATCTTCCTGTTATTCCAACAGCGAAACAACGCCGACCTTATAAATCTGTAAAATGCGATTTTAATGCTGTTGTTCACTTTTATCATACCAAACTGACCGGACTTCTCTACGACGGGAGCATTAAGATAACTTGCGGTAAGATAGTCCTTAATTCGTCGACATTTGCCTGATATTCCTCGAAATTGATATTTTTTATGACAACCTTCGCAAAATATCCGCTTATTATTATACTATAAAGAAATACATTTAAACAAATAAAACAATTGCAGTTTTTAAATTCGATTTTTATCTCGCGGTTTATCTCTTGCAGAAAAAAATATGATACAGTTGTAAAATATCATTACACAAATAGCATTGTTGGGACTAATATGTTTTACAATATAACGTAAACCAATAAAAAGCCATTGATTCACGCAATGTCGCGTATATTATTATTCTTTACATTAACGGCAGTTATTTTTAAAATTTTATATGGGCTGTGTAAATGCGTGTGCACGCGTAATCAAAATAAATGATCACACTTCGTGTCGTGCAACAAAAACCAAATAGTAGAGTTACACACGCCTCGTTATTACTACTAACTGTTACGCGGGCATTATGCAGAAATATGACTGCGCATCATTCAATAATAAATATGAATAAGAATGTAAATATTCAATAGACGTGTAATTTATATACGCCGTGCCTAGGAGCTAATTACGGATGATGTTTCGCTAATGGCGGCGCAGTTATGGCTCACTGTTTTCCTCTCATTATTATCATCCTAAATACAGTACAAAATCATCACGCAGGATGTCGAGGATTCCTACCCGTCACGGATCCGTTATGTACCGGTAATCGAGGCAATTTTTCTCCTCGTGGACACGGCAACCTTTTACTTCGTTGCCGACCTCCGGCCTTTACCTATTTACCAGCTATCACCGCGTCGTGCAGCCCCCCCCCCTCCCCCGCGATACCAAATTAACGGCTATCGAATCAGATCCCGGCCACGTTCAGTTTTAGCTTTCTCTCACACGCTTTTATTATCTTCATATTATACAAATATACGTTGCATAATAGCGATTGCAATCGCTCCGCATCAGTTTACATTTAACTATAGACTTCAGCTTTAGCTTCAACTTCAGTTGTATCTTCAGCCTTCAGTCACGTTTTGAAGATGCCACCACTTCGAAACGAATTTCTGAAATAAATCGTTCTAAGTAAACTATTGTACGTCTTTGAAACAATCGTTTTTTCGCGAACGATTGAAACCAATTGACATCATTTCAAACTTAATTCGACGTAAAGAGAATCTCAGAAATCTAAAATCGAATACATCTCGCGACCCAAAAGATTCAATACATGGTGCCGTTCGCGTTCATGCCTGCAATTTAAACGGACAATTTTTACGTTGTTTCCAAAATATGCGCGTACGAAACCGGAGAAAAAAATCAGCTTTTTTTAATAATACTCTTCTACGAGATAATTTCAGCTAAAGTTTTAACTCTTTGAATGTTTTACTGAAAGTTCAACCCTCCCACGCGTTGAACTTGATGCTTCGCGGTAATTTATCGCATAGTATTCTAAGTATTCAAATCAGTGCGAGATTTATAATTAGTGTAATTGTACTTTTGGAACTTCATAAATTTTTCTAAATAACAACAATTCTTTGATTACCGTTAGACTCGCCAATTAGATGAGATCGAGAACGAGATACTTTTGGTTCTCGTTTATTTGCGAGAAATAATTTGGACCGTGAAGGGGGTTAAAAGAACGCTAGGCCGGCAATCCAGTATCATGCTGATTAAAACGTCGTTTCTGATTTTTCAGACGAACATGCACGCGTCGTTCCCGTACGACGGCGGACGCAGTAGTGGCGGAGGCGGCGGTGGTGGAGGCGGCGGCGGCGGCGGTGGTGGCGGTGGTGGAAGGGGCGTCGAGTATGGCGCCGTACGTCGTCCTGACGCCCTCCTACCGCCTCCGGGTCTCGACCAGACCGACCTCGTTCTGCACAGCAGCCTCGTTGACGACCCCCAGGTGAGCGACGATGTACGTAATCGCAACATATTTTCTCTATTATCATCCCTCGACGCGTCTCCGACGACGACGTTCTCGCCCGCCGAGGATAAACCGCGTGATGTCTCTGCAAACGGACGCCCTATACGATTGCTGGAGATCTGCTCCAAAATTGCGTGCATTTTGTGCGGGGTGGTTTTTTACCACAGACCCGTGCGCAGGATGTTTGAAGCGTCAGTCTCTCGTGGGAGACTTTGGGGATACAGATAATAATTAACGAAACGAAAGGATAAGCATAAACATCGTATTCCTTTGTTTTTTAACTTCAAGCGGAATTTATTTTGACAGAATTTAAACTTATTGTTAGTTACAAGATTGAAGAAAATAGAGGAGAAAAAGCTGAATGTCCTTTAGCTTTTCAAATAATCTCTCGTGGTTAATTCCGTGGAATAAACGTTTGTCGATTCCTTTTTGGATTAGTCTGCTTTTTTGCAGAAAGTACAAAAGCAGTTATGTTAACATCAAAAGTTTCAGCGTCCGTTAAATAAAACGTCAGACGCTTGTTACAATGCGGGACGGAATGCTGCGAAACATACCGTTCTTTGCTGTGGTCGAAAACATTTTTCCTTGGGTTAAACGAGCAGGTAGCGGGTAGTCGATTTATTGTACGCAAAAATATTTATGAAAAAGAATTAACTGATAATATTTCTCGAGAATTCTTTCAGTAATGTTAAACACTTTTATATCTACTTTTGATTTTTGAACCGTGCACTTTTCCTGAATTACAGATATTAACGATCAAATTTTTTTTTATTCTTAGTTCAATGCTAAATAAATAATGTTGTTAAGGGATTTAATAGAAGAATTTTGAGAAATTAAATTACTAGAACTAACTATAAACTCATCAATTTTATAGGTAAACTTTTCTTTTTAAAATTTTATGGCATAATTACTTATCATTATACATTATAAAACGATTTAATACCATGTTAAAATGTTTAAGTTTATATAAAAATAATATACGAGCTTCATTCACGTTTTTATTATAAAAAGAGTTACTTCAATTTATTAAAATTTATTTATATTAGATGAAATTTTAGCAAGTTTGATATTAAATTTAATATAAATTATTTTTTTTTGTTTTAGAACACAAATGTGGACGATGGAGGATTCATGAACGACCTGCCACTATTAAAAAGTAAGTAATTGCGAAAATACTTATCAGTATCTTATTCCATAAATTTTGACAGAAACAGAAATGCGTGCAGTCGCGAAATTATCAGCGATCGTGTCGGTTACTTGTCGAAAGTTTAGGAGACAAGAGGTCTGATGCTGTTTTATGCAGACGCATATCTCACGATAACAGTCATTCTCTTGCAGAGATGTCGTTCGAATTTCGACCCGTAATTTTACGCCGCGCGTAACACAAAGCCCCGCGATCGTGGGATCGTTCGATTCGGAATTTATTCCGCGGGGGTAAATTTACGCGTTGCATAAAATGTGCAACGCGCGCCACCTCGAAATAGCGAGGCGCCGGCGATAATCCCGACACAAAACGGCCACTGCGCGACCGGAAATATAAAGTAACCGCACCGGCGGGACTTGTCGCCCTTAATTAGAATTTATCTCTCTCTTGCTCTCCGTCGTGTCAAGGGCAGGCGATCAGATTTCTAACCGTTTGTGAAAATAAACCTACGGCTCTATCTCTCTCCCATTGCGTATGTAAAAGTGATGTGACGGTGGGCTTTTATGCGAGCGACCGTTCCTCTCGTAATACCGATCGTAGAAAGAAATCGTAAGAACCTGTAAATGGCAGAATTATCGAAGAGCCTCGCATTGAATCGCAACGCGATGAATTATTTGGTTTGCGTGCACGGTCAAGTTTAACTCCCGGTTTAGCTTCTTTCCTGGAAAGTTCTCTATACATATAATATAAGATTACGCTCGATTACGCTCTATATGTACATACCTGTAAAGATTAATCGTCAAGATATAAATCTGAAAAAATATCGAGCTTTGTGTCTAATTTTTGTGTCTAATCTACGTTGCAAAATATTGTCTAATACTATGTAATAAAATGAATGTCTTGTTCGCTCTGTGCATTTACGTTTGAACAAAATGGTCTTCTCGATCTTCGCGGGACTACACCCGTGGTGAATGAATTTTCTGAGTTAAATTTATCTCTCGAATAAGCGATTCAGAGTGTGATGACACCCCGCGCGAATAACATTCACGCGTAATATTCCGCGATGTGCGACTTCGCGATTGCGTAATTTCGAGCGAGTTACGCGGCGAAGGAGGATGTATTATGGATCGCGGTGGAGGCAGATTATAAGGAAACTTGCATCATGCCCAATTCCGCGAGCGATACGCCTCTCGTCGGCTCGTGTCAATGCGAGATCGAATCGCGGCCAGCGTCTTGCGAAAGTATCACGCTCACCCAAGACCGATCGTATCCGATCAACGAACTGAACGGAGAGGACTCCCGAGAGTTTGTCGTGGAGGTTACACCTATGGTTTGAAATATATGTAACTTTCGATCTATGAATTAATTACGAAATCGTACCGCGTTACCGCCGCCCGATATGGTAGCGGTAATTTTCGTCGCTTTAGCCGGGAGGACGTCAAAAGTGCCGCGCGCTTTCTCCCGAACGCGCACGTTATAGAAACCAAAGTGAGAGGAACGTGATTTAATTTCACCCTGACGCGCTCCAATTTTTAAATAAACTTCATGACGAAGGTGTCGTGATCGTGAAACCGCAACAAAAATCAATCAATCAATCAATTGATGATACTTTAAGCTCCGCGATCGTCACATGCATGAATATTAATATCGACGAGATTAACGTATATTTATTTCTACTATTAAAATATGCTGTATATATTTTTTTTTAAGGAGAAAGTAAATTGATCAATTAAGCTATTTACATATTGCAACAAAAGTCACGAAAAATTTCAGAAAATGCACTGTTATAGATAAAAAATTACAAATCAGTCATTTTGATAATTCTAGTGTTAAACTCCGTGGAGCGCGTATACGGAGATCTAGTTACGTCGATATAGCGATTTAGCTGGTGTCATTTAGGAAACGTGTGATTGTAGGAAACAACGACTTTTAGAGCCCACATACGGGCACGGCCCACAAACGTATTACGCGGCGACCCTCGTTTTCAACGACGATTTAATTCTTCTCGTCTCTTCGGATCGTCGCGTCGCACAATGGCCGGAGAACCTACCGGAGCGCGTGGAATCGTGCGTGTACGCACTGCGAGAGGAGGTGTGAAGGAGAGAGGAAAAAAAAAAGATGAAAAAAAGAAATACAGTGCGTGCCCGCGGGCGGATCGGATTTCGTTCATTGTCATTGTAATTTCTTGGCGGGGTGTAGTTTTCGGGGCGTTCCTCACCACAGGGGTATTACCTACAGATGGCTGTTTGTTCGAATGTCACCGAGGGTTATTATATGCCTCGTTACTCGTCCTGCGACGGCTTATTTGGCCGTTCTTTTTCTATTCCGCTTCTTTCTTCTCGCTCTTCGCAACCATCCCTCCCCCCC